TTTTTTCCATCATTGAACTGACCTGAAATTAGCTGGAATGCAAATACCCCTGCAAAATAAAAGTAGAAAGTTGGGCTTAATATTTAATTAAAGAAAAAATCTGTCTATATCTCTCGTTGTTTGTGGCTGATTTGTGTTGTGTTGAGAGGTTAGCTAGGATGTCATGACATCCTGCAAGGTTAAAAAAAAAAAAAGACCGCACATTGAAATCTTGCATGGTGTATTTAGAATGTGTAGGCAATGTATCTTCAGGGCAAGCAGTGGTGGGGGTCCTTTACTTAAATAGCAATACAACAGTGTAAAAATACTGTTAAAAGTAAAAGACCTGCATTCAAAATGTTACTTAGATTAAGTTTTAGCATCAAACAAAGGACTTGTGCAGAATGGCACATTCCTGTATAACCTCGTCTTGTAATTCCTGATGTATTATTCTGTCCATAACAATGTTGCAGCTGGGAAAAGGGGAGCTAGTTTTAACTAGCTTGTGTGCATTTAATTAGAATTACTGCTGGGTAGCTATACAAAAAGTCCACAATAGATCAGATGTCTTATTATTGTGTTTTTGTGTTCATCTGGTTCTGAAAAGTAACTAAAGTATAATATTTGCATCTAAAATGTAGGAAGTAATAAAATGAAAATACCTGACTACAGATATCTGTTGTACTTGAGTAGGCATCTGCCTTTAGTTCTAGAGTCGGCAGTCTGTTGACCTTGACGTTGCTCCAGTGTCGTCATCCAATCAGCACAACTTTGCTCGCTACTATCCTGCATTTTGTTCTTGCATAATTTTAGTAGTTTACAGAGAGCTCAACGGGATGTAACTGGTCAAGATGATGGTGAATTTTTAAAAAAAATGTCCTCTGAGCCACATGACAAATTACATCAAATGGCCTGTTGCCCTTTATTAACATAGTGTACGTTGTTGAATTCACAGGTATTTTTTTTTTAACCATGTTTAAAATTCAAATAAATTTGCACCAGTCATGTAGATGTTCTCAGTCACTGAAATAGATGGAAGTACCTGCATAAATTTTAACCTGACAGTGTGTGACGGTCTAATTTCATCATGTCTGGAAATGTACAACTAGATTTAGGTTTGTCTGTGTACAGGGCCACTGTGCTAAATAGGTGTGTACTTGTATGGCTGTCTTTTTCTTTTTGGCTGCTTGTCACCCTGCAAAGGGCTGTTTGGGGCACTTGTTTTTAAGTGTTGGAGTTGAATTTGTACACTTTTTGAAATCGGTTCTCTTTAGTTGTAGTTAAGCAGTAAAAATCCTTTTGTATATTTAAATTTTTCTCAAACTGTTCCTATATTACAGTAGGTGTCAGTTGTTTGGCTCGCTCTATTGTAGAAAATGTGAGCTGTTAGATTTGTGTGCATGCCCACATGTAACACTGCAGTCATGTTCATCTTGTGTTAAAAGTTCACATCTGTGAAAACATGTTGTGCTAGAAAAGGAACAAGTGATATATAAGTGCACAGTTTCACTTTGTTTGCAGACAACGTGTTAGTTTGGCTGTGGGATGACGGCTGAACTACAGTCTTTAGTGAAAGTGGATGGGGTCTTTTTACAGCACAAATCCAAAGTGCTCTTGGCATCAGTAGTGATTTGATTTGTAGTAATTAGTTGTATGAAAGGAGTTTTTTTTTTTATTAAAGAAATACAACTGTAGCCAACTGGGAAGGCTGGGTTCTTGGCTATTTAACTTGTCTAATCAGACACCTAAGGATAGAGCTTGTTTGGAAGAAACAAAGATAATTGGTGTGCGGTTCCAGTGCTTGATCTGAATGAGATGCTGAAGTTGTAGCACGCCCTTTATTACTTTTTATGTGCTAGTGCCAGATGTATTTATGATGGTTATTATTTCTGTTTCAAGTCGCAGTGTTGGTGGGAAACTAAATGACCAGGCCCGATGAAGCTGATGGGCCGCCTTAAATCGATGCACTACCCCTGCTTTTAAATCCCTAGGACTGTTGAACAGCTGGTTTCAGTGCATTTATAAGGCATCCTTTTCATTATACATGTTGTGACATGGATGGATGACACACTGTTATAAAATAGCCAGTTAAACTAGTATTTTTAACAGATAAAAGCTTGAAATGGGGTGGAGGGAAACTGGCTTTAAACTCGGTTCGAAAATAAATTCTGGTATTCGAAGCCTCAAAGTCGTATATCAGTTTTTTTTTTTGTTTTTTTTTTATTTCAGCTGCATATAAAATGCTATACCTGCCAGATTGTTGCTTTTGCCTCTCCTCTGGCCCTATGGCGATGGATTTAAGCCAGCCTACATCTGTGTACTGGTGCTACTTCAGATATTGAGTAATCACTAGAGATGCAAGCTTCCACTTGGCTTTAAATGTTCTTGCTTGGTCTTTTATTGTCCTCCCACTGTGGACAACACTAGTCTTTTACAGGAAGCTGGGTACAGTTGTGTGTTTTTTTTTTTTTTGTGCATCCCATCAGCATGGCTCCGCTACTCCTTAATGACAGCTGCAAGTCAGCAAGTTGTTTCTAGAAGATGTTGAAGGCCTCCCAGTTATGAGTGGATGCAGCAGATTTTAGATCTTACATGTCCATATACGTGTACAGTACAACACCAGGCTTCCCCAGCTCATTTCAAAAGCTAAGTGTTTCTCTAGGCATCTGTCCCCGAGATACAAGGTGGAATTGACTTTATTAATTCAATCACTGTAGAACAGCTTATGACAGTAGTGACTCGTGGTGGCGAGCCGAATCAAGTCGGTAGGCATCCGCATAAGGAATTCAGATGTAAAGGACACTTGTTGCATTGCTGCAAGTTAATATTTGACAGTTAAGTGTCTAGCTTCTGTAACACCTGTTCCTATTTTAATACTTTTTTTAAAACTACCCGTTAAAAGTGTGGACACTCTTCCCATTTGAGTGGGGAAAGTGCATTAAATGTTGTCTGAACCCGTCTGTTGCTAGTGGGTTGTGTGGGAAAATATTGGCCTCTAATTTCAAGTAAAGTTGGAGATAAAATTCGAGTTGCTTATGGACTGTATTAATATGCTGAAGCTGCATGAGCTAGTGAACTTGACCGGCAGTGGAATTGCAGAGAGACCCAGCAGTGTGGGTGGAGGAAATTGAATTGCCTCTGTGCACATAAAGAGTGGGTGTCAATCTATTGTACGTTTTAGAGAGAAACCGTAGAGGGAGAACACATTGAGCCTTGGCTACTGCACTGTCAGATGAGTTGGTGTGAAAGCAGTGCAATTGCCTGTCATTTTTAATTTAAGACATGTTAAGAGTTTTGAGGGTTGGAGAATTTACTGTAGGCTGTAAGCCAAAATCGTTTTGTAAATGGGTTTGTAATCTTGCACTGAAGATAAGACACAGTCCTAGTGTTTGACTTTTTCTGAGTGATGCCATTCACCACTGATTCATAAGAGCCATTTTTGTATTCAACACTTTCAGTTTCACCTCAGTGTGACGTTGGATGTCTTCTGGTCTTGATTGCAGGACAGAGCCTAGGCTATGGATTTGTCAATTACGTGGACCCGAAGGACGCAGAGAAAGCCATCAATACCTTAAATGGCTTGAGACTTCAGACCAAAACCATCAAGGTAAGATGTCATGCATAGCTGCTGGTTTATTATTATTTAACTGCCATCAGACATTGACATCCATTCTTTTCTTCCTCATTGAATTCTGTTACTATTCATGACCAGTAGCAAAACTCCAAGATATGCCGTTCATGTCTAGCTCTCTGGGTTAGTCGAAGTATAATGAGGCTGGAGAAATGGGTGGGGTGGCGGGCTGCTATTGTTAATCTCAGCACAGGTGGCTTTGCCTGGGCCTCAAGTAGAGCAGAACTGTTTCTATGGTTGCATGTGCTGTAGTACTGCTGTATGCCTTTACAGGGAGGTGGCTGCCATTAGCATTCACCAGGCAACGTAGCTCTCAGGGGGCTGGTGGAGAAACTCGTTTGCTTCATATAGTGCTGCAGGATTTGTGGATGGTTGAGCCAGATTATTAATTTGATATTTTTCAGGGGCCTAATAAGGAGTTGGCCAGATAGTCCTTTGACATCAGGCAGAGGGGCACTAGAGAAAATGTCTATGGGCAAAAATATCATATTGGATTAGCACTAAATCTAAACTGCATGCTTGATTATTTCTGTAACATTTTAATATTGGCAAGATGTGGTATATTGAGCCATGCCACTTTTATTTCTGTGAATCGAATACACCTTTTTCTGTCTGCCTCTTCTCAGTTCATACCTCTGAAAGTAGAACATGGGAACTTTTTTTTTCCTCCCCCTGCACACATCCAAAATTCTCTAGCTGCTCTGTCAGAAGTGCAGATAAACCCCAGTGAGGGAGAGGAATATACTTTGCAAATATTAGCATCAAATGAAGTGTGAAGGTGAGACTGGAAGGGAGGCAGGGATCAAGAGAAACAAGGGAGCGGCCTGGCCGTGGGCAGGGAATTTTGGCTTTCACGTTCACTTTGTCAGGCTTCCCTTCAGGGCAGGAACAGGGTCACCAAGTGGAATAGCTGAGAGCAAAAGAATCCTTTTTGAAGGTTTAATAAGTGATTTCAAGTAATTCGGTCGGTACCCTTAAAAGTACCGAGCTTGATTCCCATCCCTAATCTAGACCCAGTCACTAAACATTGATGGAGTCCAGGAGCTCAATAGATAAACTTTGGAAAGACTTGAAAATTGAGTAGTTGCCTCAGTCATTTGCTCTTTACTTGAATAATTTGTTAGTCACTTTTTCTTCATTTAGTCTGAAGATTACTTTAGCAAATTGTCTTGAGTCCTTGTACTGGAAGTGCTTTGTATAGTATCTTAGATAAAACACAGTGTAGTGTTTCCCCACACATAGGCCCAGGTGTATTAATGACTGCCCAGAGAAAACAATACCATCCGCCATCGATTTATCTTGATCTTCTATTATATTTTTAATAGGTAAAGTCTTTACTGTATTGTAGCGCTGCACATTGCATCGTTTCACTCAGCCCCACTCTCTCACACACACTCAAACATCTAAGTGGCATTTTTCGCATTAGGATGCCACTTAGGCTAATATTTGTTACATACAAAATATTGTGTCCAGATCCTCTCCAAAGTGAGTTGGTGTTTGAGATCATTGTATCTGCTCTTCTGTGAGTTCACTAATGTGCCAAAAAGGTGATCTGATGAACTGTTTGCAGAGATGCGTGTGCTTAAACGTGGTTGTGATGTACTGGTCATGTGAACGGTCTCTTCCTGTAGGTTTCCTATGCGCGTCCGAGCTCCGCCTCCATCAGAGATGCAAATTTGTACGTCAGCGGCTTGCCAAAAACCATGACTCAGAAAGAACTGGAACAGCTCTTCTCTCAGTATGGACGCATCATTACCTCACGCATTCTGGTGGACCAGGTGACTGGTGAGTAGGACATGACAGCTGTCCCACAGCTTAGCTTTCTAACTGAGCTTCTTTCTTCCACCTCCTCCCACCCATGACACAGCCGGGTCTGGGAAATATCAGAGGTGGTGGTATGATGTCCACAGATGAAATTTTCTGTTGGAAATGTTCATAAATATGCATGGGATTGATAGAATATGAAGTAGGTGTAAAGTAGCAGGACTCGATGCTTAATTTCTTTTTTCCCTCCAGTCTTCCTTCTGCCTGCACTTGTCTTGCTGCTTCCCTCTTTCTCTACCTATCCCCAAGATGTACTGTATATGTCTGTTTCATGCCAAAAAATGAAATGCATTTAGCGCAGTTACATTTTCAATTTTCTAAACTATCACTTGGAAGCAGAACGCCCTTATGAAACACTAATGAACAGAATCTTTCATTGTGACATTTCCCAGCGGCTCTGTCCCTGTGTGCTGCCGGAATGTAATGGTTCTTCAGGCATGCAGCCGCTGGTCGTCTTTGTCTAACAAAAACATCTTGTTTTGAGATAATTCATTGTTTCAATGGAGCAATCCATGATTGAGCAGGTAAGAAATTGGGAAATTGGTTGCCTGAAACCAAAGCAGGATTACAACCTGCTTTTGCTCACAAATTAACAGGCCAACAGTTAATTCATTGTGTAACTTATGCATGTTAATGTGGCTTTCAAGGGCAAAATGCATACATGAATCAAAGCTCCTTTACTGGCATGCATGCACAAACCTTGAGAAATGCATTATAAAACAAATATCAAACTGCTGGATGGTGCTGCTTGTAGTGCACGGGAGACTGGAGGGACGGACCTCTGACTTTGCAAAGATGCTGAAGCTCCTGGCTGATTATCGGGCGAGAATAGGAGCCAAAACACATGTATGGATGTCTCAAGAGGGCAGGAGCTAATTCAAATGAACCTCTTTGTTGCTGCAAACTAACTTCAAGAAAGCAAGTAGATTTATGAAACAGCTACCTGAAAGCTAGCTAGATAACAACAACTTGGTAACTCCTGTTGTAACACAAATAAGCTGTCAGTAAAAATGTTTTTCATTGAATAAATTTTGTCGACATCTGTGCTCCTCTTCAGTCCAGGTCTGATTCCCCCCCCCCCCCTTTTTCTCTGTTTTAAGCTGTCTTATTACCTTTTTTTTTTTTGTTTCTCTGCAACACAAATTTGGATTTTGATATTTTCAGTTTTACTTCATTTGGGTTGGGTCAATAATGTTTGCTGCCTCCTCTTGTATGTATTTCAGTCTCTGCATTATTTCTTAATGTGGAACACATTTCCTTTATGTTCTGGCAGTGTATATAGGCTCATGTTTTTAATTCACTCTTCCTTGTATAAGAATGTATATTTCATGAGTATCAGTTTAGTTATAAGAATTGCTAATTAGGAATTGTAGTGTTTTCAGCTGTTTCTCATGTCTAATTCAGAACTTTGTAGCATTTGAGGCCACTGCATCTTCACAGCAGTGTACTGCACCCTGAGATGCACCAGGTTTGGATACACTAATCATTAGTTAATTCAACAGGTAAATTTATAATTGGAATATTTGGTCAAGTTGCTGTTAAAGCTGTTTGTGTGAATGTCTTCACGGCTATCAAGTCGACGGGCAGCTGATCTTGCGGTCATATATACCCCTCAGGTGTTTCCAGAGGAGTGGGCTTCATCCGTTTTGATCGGCGAGTTGAGGCTGAGGAGGCCATAAAAGGTCTGAACTGTCAGAAGCCGCCCGGTGCCACCGAGCCCATTACAGTGAAGTTTGCAAACAATCCAAGCCAGAAGACCAGCCAGGCGCTGCTGTCCCAGCTGTATCAGTCACCCAATCGAAGGTACCCAGGACCTCTCGCACAGCAGGCACAACGCTTCAGGTAAAAGGGGCACACCAAAAAACAAAATCTGATTAGAGCCAAGCCTAGTTAATAGTGCTAGTGATCTGTTGGCCTTCTGAGGCTTTTTAAAATTAGCATTTAAATAGTCTCTCAGCAGTATTATGAAAATATTCTGTGTTGGAGCTCATCAATACTCTGGACAGAATAATTCATCCCCATATTCATTTTCAACTTTGCTGTGTTCCTCCTGTTGCAGATGTAGGCATACACCACAAATGAGTTTGAAATGAGATGAGCAATACTCTGGTGGATAATTCAGTAGATGGTCTAAACACTTTTAAAAAGTTGGCCTAGTTGGTGGCCGTAAATGTGAAAATAAATCCATATATTGCTCTTCAGTCCACTGATTGATCTCAGTGGTATGCAAGACATCACAAGGCTGCAATATTTGCAGCCTGAACGTCTCCTGTTGACACTGTAGTGTCGGTTGAATATTAAGTCAGTAGGGTTGCACCGGTATGAGATTTTCATGGTATGTCTCTAAATGATAGTATACAATATTGCTCAATTCCTGTTGTCAGCTACAACGATCCTCAAGAATGAAAACAAAAGGGTTTTTTTTTCAAGTAACTGCCAGCTGATTGAGCTGGATCACAGCCTGACCCTAAAGACGAAACAGAATTATAAACTTTTTAAGAAAGCATGTAAGTATAACATGTTGTATTTAAAGCATCATGTTTCAGTAGCAGTAAGTATTCGATCCTTAATTAAAAGTACTACTGTGACTGTAAAAGTAGCCTAGTTTGTTACAAGTTTGAAAATAAACGTATCTTGAAAATCTACTTAAAAGTAGAAGTAGGCTACTCGATGCAGAAAAGTGTTGTAGCCTACTACACATGTATATCCTGTAATATATCATTGCATGTCGTATCGTTCATGTGCTGATGTAAAAGCAGGATTTTATTGTAATAGCTGGCTGAGGTGGATGGTGTTTTTGAGATATCCAAAGAAATCTCGCACTGCTGTTTTAAGTTTCTTTTTGGGTGGATACAGTTTGGTGAGTTATCGGCTTCCTTCTTGTTGCAGTTTGTCCACCGCACGTGGCGCCCATTGCTGAGTCTGACAGGGAAGAAAGCTGAGCAGGCGTTGCGTGTTTGGCAATACTGTGAAGTCGGGATACCGCTGCAACCCTAAAGTTCAGTCAGTGGGTTGATGAGGGCAATAGTCTTGGATTCACTTGAGTGGAATAGCTGGCTTTGGTTATGGTATCAGAACTATTACTCATCTCTGTCATCCTGCCAAAATGCATCATCAACCTCCAGAATAAGCTTTTCTCCAAGGTGAAACATTTGGGGGTTGTTTTTTTTTTTTAGATTGGACAATCTGCTGAACATGGCCTATGGAGTCAAAAGGTAAATTGATTTTCTTTTTTAGATTTTCCAATCTGCTTTAATTGAACCTAAGGGAAATTCAGACATGAGGGAGCTGATGGGATTTTTTTTGTTTTGTTTTTTTTTGTTTGTCTCTGCATTAGCTCTCGGCAATGTTGCGTAGGCAGTTAACACTGCATAAGGTAGCACTGATTCAATATGAGGTTGTTGATCAAAGAAAAATGCTTTTGTGTGCATGCATTAGTGCTGTCTACAAACAAATGTATACATAATTCAGTTGGTGAGAGATTTCCAGGTTGTTTTAGCAGCAAGTGATGTAAATATTTAGCATGTGTGCAAGATGGAGAAAGGTAGACTGGTGTGAGCCAGGCATGCTTCTAGGAAGAGACCAGTGTTAGGTGTCACTAAACATGAGCTTTCCACGACAGTCGGGATCAAACTTGGCACCCTCATTGTGAGGTGGGATTGTTTACCACTGATGCCCTGAGACATTGAATTCATTGTCAAACGGCACCCTGAGACATTGAATTCATTGTCAAACACAGCGCATTGTCTGCTCGGCTGCAGTGTTAAACAGTCTGGTGTGCAGAGCAGGGCGACACTTTCTAAACACTACCTTACTCTGTTGTATTGGCCTTGCATAGAGTTCCCTAAGTCAGGTGTGCAGGGTCAGTCATGTGCCCAACAAACACAATTTCCACTCAGTGTCACTCTTTAAAATACAGCTAGTGACAGTGAAGCGCTTTAATCTTGACATAATGTCACAACATGTCAAGATTAAAGCATTGGCTGCTTAACAAAGGGCAGAATTTTACAATTCTTTACTTGCTATTGCACAAAATTGCATACTTGTATTTTGAGCTTCATCTTCACCTTGATCTATTATGAACAACCCCATCCTGTTTTAAAACTTGGTTGCATCAGATGTCTTTCAGGATTTGCTGGGATACCAGTTTGTTGAAGCAGAGTTTTGTCAGAATCTTTATTTTCCCCAAGTGTGATTGAAGTCCAGTCCCCTGTAAGCTCAAAGGCCCATCACAGCTAACAATAGCCTTGTGATTTCTCTTCTGTCCTGCTCGTTGGCTGGCGTCTTCGTTGTCAGATCTCTCTTAAGTCCTTAATGCTGGGAGCACACCTGTCGTCGTGGCTGATGATCCTGAGAGACCAAGTGGAGCAGCTAATCTTATGTGACACCTGCTGCAATAATTCATAGGCTTTCCATGCACCTTGAGTTTTGTTTGTAATTCACCAAACGCCAGGGCTTTTGCATGCCTTTTTATTCCAGCCTTGGCACTTTGATATGGTGCCCAACTGACAGTATTTACGTATCAGAGAACAAGTCTAAAAATCTAATGATTAATGAAGGAGCAAGAGCAGAATGAAACCTTCCTGGTTCTGATCCCTGCAGACACCTCTCAGATTTTGTTAGGCTTTTAAAAGGCCCCTTTTGGCTCTTTCCTTAAACCAGTTTACCTTTGTATTTTACCACAGGTTCTCTCCTATGGCCATTGATGGGGTGACCAGCTTGGCTGGCATCAACATCCCCGGGCACGCAGGCACTGGCTGGTGTATCTTTGTCTACAACCTGGCTCCAGATGCCGATGAAAGCATCCTTTGGCAGATGTTTGGGCCGTTTGGTGCCGTCACAAATGTCAAGGTTATTCGTGACTTCAATACAAACAAGTGCAAAGGATTTGGGTTTGTCACCATGACCAACTACGACGAGGCAGCTGTGGCTATTGCCAGCTTGAATGGATATCGCCTCGGGGACAGAGTGCTGCAAGTCTCGTTCAAAACCAACAAAACACACAAAGCCTAATACCCACTGAAATTCAGCAGAAACAGAAAATGGAAGCGTGTTGACCGTAACTTTCTACATTAGTAACAGCTTTGTAAATCAGTGTTACAAGGAAAAACAATATTTAGCATCCAACAATGTGATTTTTTTTTTTTCTTTTTTATTTCTATGCTATGAATCTTCTCAGTAAAACAGGAAAAAATACTGCAGGTTTTAATGCCTGTGATGTTGAATTCTCTTGCTGTCTTTACAGATGGACCATCTAAAATGTTACTATAGGTTTTGTCGTTTTGTTGCGCATCTGGTTTGCAATCGTAAGTGTTGTAAGGTTATGTGTGGTGATTTCCTTTTGTATTTCTCTGTCCTCATTTGCCTAAGGTGCGTTATGCCCTCAGTGGTTAGCAAGTACTTAGTTTGAGCTTTTTGCAGATTTGTTTTTGTAAGTATTCTGTTTATTGTAATATAAGTTGGTTATTGGTTGGCTGCATAATGTTGCTTATTGTAAACTTAATAAAAGACAAAAAAAATTCTTAAAGCAGTACCTTGCCAAAGAGCTAAGAACCTCTTTGATGTGGGTTTGAAAAGCATCTATTTTTATAAAAAGAAAAATTTGGAGAAACTTTTTACTGGACCTGGAACAAAATATTTTGACTTGGATACTTTGAGAAATATCTTCATATGACACCTTGTGAGCTTTTGAACTTTACAAGAAAGTTTGCAGTGGTTGAAATTTCTGGAGAGATTTATGATGTAAAAGACCTTTTGAGATCTTTGTATTACAGTATCTTTCGATTACAGAATCAATGGCAGTGCTGGTTTCATTTGTAAAAATCTGTGGGTCCCCGTCATCCCGGTTGTCGCCACTAGCAACTCGCTATTTGATTTGGGAAAAGGACAAAAATACAAAGGTTGATTCACAAAATGGGCATGCAGAAATTTACAGTGTAGAAATCTTAAAAGGTACATGGGGGCTAAAAATCAGTTCTTCCTAAAGGATTCCCTTCAGACGGCGCTTGCGGCGTGTTGTGGTGTACCCATCACTAGACAGTCTTAATAGCAACCAATAAGGGTTTTTACCTGCTTTGTACGAAAGATTTGAGGACAAGCCAGTGAAGGCAGCAGCGTAAGAAAAACAAATCTGGAGAACAGAATGGATTACTCAGAGCTTCGAGCTATGTAAATAAGTTTGTTTTGTTTTGTTTTTGAGTATTCGGCAGACTTATTTTAGGTTCTAGTTTGATTTTCATTGGGAATTGTATTTATATTTTTCTTTTATGGAGTATGTAAGGTATTTCATTTTGGATATTAACCTTTTGAATTTTTAGTTTCCCCATCACTTGAAAAACTGATTTGTTGTCCCATGGACTAGCATTAAAGTGCATCAAATTCGTTGGTTGTTTGGTCTGTAGATAGTCTTGCTTTGTAAAAAAAGAAAAAAAGGAAAAATAAGGTATTAAGCTATAGACATTTGTTTTGTTTTTATATATAAACATTATAGATATATATTTGTGGTAAAGAATGGATATAAACCACAGTTTTGAACTATTTGATTACTTTTTTTCATACTCATATACGTAATGCATATAACCTGTCTAAAATCGCATCAAGGTGTATATCGCTTTATTCACTTTGGGGAAGTCGGTGAAGCAGTTCCATTGATCGCAAAATTGGTTGCAAGAGTTTGTAGAAGAACATCGAACTCGTCTTGAACAAATGGAGGCTGGCTGAGCCTTAGGTGCACTTAATACTTCACCTGCATCCTGCTTGGTATTGGAACCAATTACTAGTCATGCTTCCCCTTTAAATGAGCAGTGTGCTATGCATTATATAATTATCTTTGCAACAGCTTTTTCTTGTTTATCTATTCCTTCCTTTGTGTTACTTGTAAACGTTTAAGTCTAGATGAGTTGTGATACTTGCTGCTGTGGGGGAGAGAGTACATTTTTTTCCATGCCTGACCTGTCATTGTTGAAATTTTCTTTTTTGCAACTTCCTTTATAATATGTTCTTTGACAAATTGTGCTGCTGGTCCGGCATGAAAAACTGTACCCTCCCACCTCTCATCGCAATTCTTTATCTAAGAATGATTATTTATTTGAAGCTGTATAGTCTGACTAGGTTCACAGCATTTTGGAATAGAATAACTGGAGTATCTAAAAGGATGTACATGTTCTTTTGTGTTTGAATACTTTGGATTTTTTCCATGTTCTGTACATGAATAAATAAGTTGAAGGGCAATGCAGTTTGTGGATGGATCCCATCATTCCTTTTTTCCTGTTAACTACAAAGTGTCTGTGCCGACGTAATGTAAAAATGTCTCCCTTTTCACAACTTTAACTTGTGCTTTTATTTTAGTTTAAGTACCGTATTTTCCGGACTATAAGTCGCTCCTGAGTATACGTCGCAGGACCAGCCAAACCATGAAAAAAAGTGCGACTTATAGTCCAGAAAATACTGTATTTTTAAATCTCACTTATTGGCCACAATGTGCTCATTTTCTTGCCGTATCTTAAAGTGACTATCTGGAACTTTAAAGGATATGGTCAGTTTTTTTTTGTTTTTGTTTTCTCTCTCTTCTCTAAGCACTTATTTGCCTCTACTCACAGTTAATGTAGTTCAGTCCTGGATTATCTTGTCTTGTTTAAAACATGATTTTATTTTTATTTTTTTCTCCAGACCCAACTATGCTGCCATAATTTCCTGACGTTTGCATGAGTCGGTCACATACATGAGCTTTCAGCTTTGTTTACATTCCGCTAGCTCTTCATGTTGGGTTTGGGCTTTGCTAATGAGGAAACGTGTCACCAGTGCATGAGTGTGTTAAACTGTTTTTGCTTTAGATAAGCAATGGAGGTCCATGGCACAGACAAATAAGCTAATTCAGGACTGATGGCACATTAACTGTGAGTAGAGGCAAACTGTCATCTTCCTTGCATGGGGAGTGTTGAATACTATTAATACTGAAAATGACTGGCCTTATGGTTTTTTAAAATGTGAAGCTTGGTGCCACTTTCTGTACAACTGTACAGTAAAAGTGAAACTACAGCTAGGATGTGTTGGCTTATCAGACTGGAATCAAGGCAGACGTGGGCTATGAGCATCTATATTGTGAGTTGTCAATCTTTTCATTTCTTTAAACTGATTTAAGTGGTCTGAACCTATGTGATGTATCTTGCTACAAACTCCGACTTTTTTTTCCTCTACTTTCAAAGAAGCTACATTAGACTGTAGATGAGGCTGGAGGTTAAAGGTATTTTTAATTGTTTTACAGCTTTCACCTTCAGATGTGTGAGAAATGATCTTTTTTCAAGTCACCTCAACAGGTGGCTTCGATGTGCCAACACAAAGAGCAGCACCAGGCTTAAAGGAAGATGCCTGATATAGAGTATTGATTTTTTCTTTTCTTTTATCTCCTTTCTTTCTTAACTTTTTTTTTTTTAGTCTCATGCTCCACTTGATGCCAACAGCCTCACTGAAGATGAAATGGCCTGCTTTGAAGTGCACTTCCCTGCTGTGCAGCCACCTCACACCGCCTGACTGTCATTTTAGGGGCATTGCAAGGACACAGATGGAAGTCGCTGAAGAATCCACGCTGGCTATTTGTCAAGAAAGCTCCTCTAAAGTATTCATTGTTTCAGTGGGAGTTCCAGCACGTCACCCACTTTAATGAAAACAATATTTCAGCACTGTTTGGCTAGCCGGAGATAAGGAGGCTAATCAACTGCTTAAAAAGCCCTCAGTCTCTCCAGTATTTACTCTTCCATTAGCCTGTGTTAGAACAGCAGTAATCTTTCCTGACAGCAGTTTTTACTGTGAAAATGAGTTGCAAGCATCTCGTCTGTCAATATTGAGATTACATGGAACTTCCCCGGTTTGTTGTGCTTTACCAGAAAGAGATTGATATGCGGAGCTTTGGCTGAGTGACGGTGCATTTTGTTTATCTGCCATGTTTGAGGCTTTTCTCCCAAGTGAAGCTGGTCTTATCGTGGCAGACAAATTGTGATTGGACGCACTTCGGCTACACGATGTGCTGCTTGTAAAAATGAGATTAGGCTTCAGCAGTTAATGGCCATCACAGATGAGTTGTCACATGCTTGATGTAAGGTGATTTTCATTCAGTGGGTTTCCTCCAGCAGTGCACTGGATCGTTGGGTTTTGATTGGTGCAAACGTTGTGTGGAAGGCTTCGACTTGTGTCTGGGACAAGCAGTTCACATCACATTAAGTACAACTTTGAAGTTGACACCGTGTTTTCCCGAGTGACGTTTATGAGCTTGTTCTAAATATTAACTGTGTTTAATTAAAAGTGCCCAGAACCAAGTCACCCAGACTATAATAAGGGAAAGTTATTACCTTGCTGAGGCACCATCTGGGCTGGCATCTAGGGGTTCCCAGGCTTTTCTGTTAGATGTAGCCCTGTCAGGTGACCTCCACTGAACTGAGGAAGTATTAAGATATTTTACTTCAGTGCAAAACTAAAATGAAAGTAAATATCAGAGCAATGTACTTGAACTTCCACCCTGATGGGGGACAACAGTGGTGCGATGGGTAGAGCAGTTGTCTCCCAACTTGAAGGATGAAGGTTCACAGGTCTGTTGTTTATTTCGTTTTTCTAGCGGTTAAGTTTTTTTACATGGTCTTATTTCATATGTTGTTTTTTTTTCTACTGCTGTATCGACTGGAGGCCACTCTAAAAATTTTGTTGTACATGTTACAATGACAAAAGTTTGATGCAGATTGAAGCTTATGTAGCAACATTCATCTTCTTTAGCTACAGTATCTTTTCACTTATCTGACCAGTGTTGTAGTTCTGATTTTCAGAACTCATAACTCCACTCGGACTCGAGCGCTGACTGCGTTCAGACTTGGACATTTTTAAACAAATGTGCCATAGTAGTTCAGAATATCAAAAAATTCACACTGTTCACTTCTAGGTAGTGTGTGTGCACTTAAAAGTGCGTTTGTAAGTAAACTTAAAATGGTGAGACCTACATGTGACTTGCCTTGAACTTGACTCTCTTCATTGGCGACTTGAACACTGGAGACTCGGATTCGAGCTTTAGTGACTACAGTACTGGACACAGCAGTTGATCTGTTCCAGTTAATTATAGTCAACTATTTCCATTATGTTTTTCTGTTGCCACTTTTTATTCTTTTAGTTATTTCAGCCATTCATCCATTACTTTAAGCTTTCAAACATCTATGCAACCATTTATGCTACTGAGCTATTAAGTCTTAAATTCCAATTTTGAGCTTAGCTACTTTATTTTCTGGCAGCTGCACAAGCAGTCACTGCAGTACAAGTACCTTTGAGAATAACTCCAACATTTTCATGCTATGTTGATCTAGTTTTTTTTTTTGTACTTTTTAAATATTGCTTGCATTTTCAAGGGTATTAAAAACTCTTGACCTCAGTAGCTGTGAAGTGATGTAGTTTTCAGCCGTAATTCATGTGGCCAGTCTGTATATTACAGCGCTGTGTCCTCTACATGTTTTCTACCTCTCTTTTCTGTATTAATAGAGAACAGGGTCACACACCTGGTCCCTCTATCATGCCACCCATTTGCTGGGACAGGAGAGAAATAAGTCTTGTTCATTTTTCTAAAGAAGCTGATGTCAGCAGGAGATTGTAATCACATTTGCATATGGTTTGTCTGCTGATGTGATTTATAGCCCATCAGGTTTTCTGTTACACTTGTGTATAATTTGCACCTTGTATACCTTCCTGTTGAGCCTCTTCATGTGTCACTGGGACACGGACCTTTTTTATCTCATGGTTTTTCTCTTGTGTATGTTGAGAGCTTGTATTTAATCACAGAAAGGAGTTTATTGACAAAGCTTCTATTTTAATAAGTCTGCGCACCTACTGTCACTGGTATGTAATTCTGAACTGAGCTAGTTGTGCGGTATTGTTCTGTAAATCAAACCTGAGGCATCGTCATCAGAATCGGCTTTATTAGCCAGGTGTGTCAGACACGTGAGGAATTTGACTTTGGTACATCGGCTCTCAATGTGTATGTACATATCCCCATGCAAGGGGCAAGTAAACAGTAGACCAGCATAAGGCTGTGTAGTATAACAAAATAAACAGTATTAACATCAACAAACGGTGCAAATAATGTAAAATAAGCAGACTGTAAACAATGCAGACAGACAAAGGAATGGTCATTGAAATGAGATAAATAGGGATAAAAACAGTACTTAAAAACAAAGGCCTGTACAAATCTGTATGATCTGTATGAGATATATACACAGGTATTGCACTGAGGGTTATTGTCCAGTCATACTGTCATTGGTTGAGTGTTCATCAGAGTGATGGCCCGGCGGAAGAAACTGTCCCTATGTCTGTCTTGGTGCACAGTGACCTGTAACGCCGTCCAGAGGGGAGGAGTTCAAACAGATTGTGTCCAGGGTGTGAAAGGTCAGCAATGATCCTCTCTGCCCTCCTTTTGACCCGTGAGGTGTACAGGTCCTCCATGGAGGGCAGGCTCACACCAATGACCTTTTCTCCAGTCCTGACTGTCCGCTGAAGTCTGTACTTGTCCTGTTTGGTTGCTGAGCCAAACCAGACAGTGATGGAGGTGCAGAGAACAGACTCTATGATTCCTCTGTAGAACTGTATCAACAGCTCCTGGGGCAGGTCGAACTTCCTGAGCTGGAGCAGGAAGTACATCCTCTGCTGTGCCTTCTTGGTGATGGTCCTGATGTTGGATGTCCACTTCAGGTCCTGGGAGATAGTGGAGCCCAGGAACTTGTAGGACTTTACTGCTGATACAGTGCTGCCAAGTATGGTAAGTGGGGGTAAGGTGGGAGGGCTCTTCCTGAAGTCCACTGTCATCTCCACTGTTTTGAGCATGTTCAGCTCCAG